TGCCTGCTGGGTTCAAGCAATTCTCATGCCTCAGCCTCCCGAGGAGCTGGGATTACAGGCGTGTGCCACCATGCCCAGCTAATTTTTTTGTATTTTTTGTAGAGATGGGGTTTTGCCATGTTGCTCAGGCTGGTCTCGAACTCCTGGCCTCAAGAGATCCGCCTGCCTCTGCCTCCCAAAGTGCTGGGGTTACAGGCATGAGCCACCACGCCTGGCCCATTGATCCTTCTTAGGCTCATTTTGCCATGGGCTAGCGGCCCACACTGGGGGTTTCAGAAACCTCAGGCCCCACTTCACCAATCCCTCTGGTTCTATCATTTATATGTCAAGCTCTGTGACCTTCAAAAAAGCTGGGGAGGATGAGTAGTCCCTTAATTGGAGGAGGACCTGACCCCAGGGAGAGGAAGAACTTGTTCAAGGTCACATGCAGGGCCGTGGCAGGGGGCCTCCCACAAAAGTAGTTTAATCGTAGGGATAAAGCAGACACCTAAACAACCAGGGCTCTTTTTTATTTTATTATTTATTTATTTATTTTGAGATGGAGTCTCACTGTGTCACCCAGCCTAGAGTGCAGTGGCTCAATCTCAGCTCACTGCAACCTCCACCTCCCAGGTTCAAGCAATTCTCCTGCCTCAGCCTCCCTAGTAGCTGGGATTACAGGCGCCCACCACCATGCCTGGCTAATTGTTTTGAATTTTTAGAAGAGACCGAGTTTCACCAAGTTGGCCAAGCTGGTCTTGAACTCCTGGCCTCAAGGGATCTGCCCGGCCTCCCAAAGTGCTGGGATTACAGGTGCGAGTCACTGCGCCCAGCAGGGCTCTTTTTAAAAAAAATATTTCTAGTCAGAGGAGGATGGTACTGAATTGTCAAGGCCTTTTGACCCTCTCCTGCCATCGTCGGCCTTCCCCAGGAAGCCCCATGTGACAAGGAAGAGAAAACCTGGCCGTCTCCTGGTGGTTGTCACATGAGAACACAATGCCCAGCTCATACCCTTCACTTTTTGGCCAGGCCTTGCACAGGTCAGCCTCGAATTAGCAGCGGAACCTCTCTCCTGCTAAAATGGTCTGTGGTGGCAGCAGCGTGCACTTATTTGAGCGAGTCACTGCAGACCAAGGGTTTTCAGGGGGATGGGGTGTCCCAGGGGCTGCTGCATGGGGAAGGGTGCCAGGTCTGAGGAGTGCCAGGGAAGCAGCTTTCCTGCTAAGCTCCAGGATGTGCTGGGGGCACTGGGAACCCAAGACAGGACCCAGCACATAGCAAGGGCTCAGGATACCTGCTGTAAGCTGTCGGGGAGGTGCCAGGGTGAGGGGTAAACTATGTCCCCATCGGGCTGCACTGTGGAGCCCAGTGGGCTGGGAGGGGCTGGGGAGTGAGTGTTGCCGTTGGGGCTAGGAATTGTGGAAGCTCAGGGTTGACCCTGGGCACTCACTAATGGGGAGGCGTGGGCACTGCTGGCGAGGGGACGCCCAATCTCTGTAGCCATCAGGGGATCGGCTCCCTTAACCCCAAGGCCCCTCCCAGAGGTGGGGAAGTCCATGAAGGCATCTCATCTGCAGCACCAGGTGAACTCACCAGGTCAGGAGCCAATCCCACCGGGCAGAGAACCAGGGATGCCCTGGAACCCTGGGCTTGTGTTTGGCCTTGGGCAGGGGCCCCCACCCTCTCTGGAACACAGTGACCTCACCTGTTGAAGGCCTGGGCCGCCACACCCTGTCCCCTCTGCCTCTATCCTGCACACCTGTGGATGGTGGTCCAGTTTGGACTGGCTGGTTTCTTCCCTGCCTTTGCCCCAAAACCCACCCCAGCCCCCTCCAGGGAGGAAGTGGATGAGGAACCCAGGGGTGGGGGTGAGGCCTTGTTCAGGGCTGGCCCACCTGGCCCCACTCTGGGACTCTTAGCAAGTCCTTCCTATCACTGAATTTCCTTGGCCTCAGACATAAAATGAGGGTCCTGAACTCGGTGACCCCATGCTCCTCCTGTCCTGACAGTCCGCGGTGCTCCTGGAGCCATTTGAGGCAGTGGGACAGAACAGGGGGAATATGTTTAGCAAAGAAAGGCCTCCCTGAACACTCTATTTATAGAGCAGAAGGTGTGCCTGGTCCCAGAACCCCAAGGTTTCCTTCTGGAGCCCTGGCTGCTGGGATGCTGCGGGAGGGGGCAAAGAGGGTCTGAGCCTCCAGCTCTGAAAGGCCAGCCTCACATTACGGGCCGTGCCTGCATGACCTGTTAGGTCTCCAGCATGATATCTCATTGGCCCATTTTCTCTTTTTTTTTTGAGGCGGAGCCTCACTTTTTTGCCCAGGCTGGAGTGCAGTGGCAAGATCTTGGCTCACTGCAACCTACGCCTCCCAGGTTCAAGCGATCCTCCTGCCTCAGCCCCCCAGTAGCTGGGATTACAGGCATACACCACCATGCCTGGCCTAATTTGTGTAATTTTTTTTTTTTTTTTTTTTTTTTGAGATGGAGTCTTGCTCTGTCGCCCAGGCTGGAGTGCAGTGGCTGGATCTCAGCTCACTGCAAGCTCCGCCTGCCAGGTTTACGCCATTCTCCTGCCTCAGCCTCCTGAGTAGCTGGGACTACAGGCGCCCGCCACCTCACCCGGCTAGTTTTTTGTATTTTTTAGTAGAGACGGGGTTTCTCCATGTTAGCCAGGATGGTCTCCATCTCCTGACCTCGTGATCGGCCCGTCTCGGCCTCCCAAAGTGCTGGGATTACAGGCTTGAGCCACGGCGCCCAGCCCTAATTTGTGTATTTTTATAGAGACGGGGTTTCTCCATGTTGGTCAGGCTGGTCTCAAACTCCCAACCTCAGGTGATTCACCTACGTCAGCCTCCCAAAGTGCTGAGATTATAGGCGTGAGCCACCGCGCCCGGCCCTAATTTGTGGATTTTTATAGAGACAGGGTTTCTCCATGTTGGTCAGGCTGGCCTCAAACTCCCAACCTCAGGTGATCCACCCACCTCAGCCTCACAAAGTGCTGGGATGACAGGTGTGAGCCACCACACCTGGCCAGCCCCATTTTCAAGATGAGGAAACTGAGTTTCAGAGTAGTCAGTAGCTCGCCCAAGTCACACAGTGGATCTAGGACTTCAATCCAGGACTGTAGGAGCCAGGGAGCTCTTTGGGAACAAGGAGAATAGGGAGAAGAACTCAGAGTCAGGGTGGGTGACCGCGGGGGAGGAGGTGGGGACAGGGCTCACTCTCCCTGGGCCCGGAGAGGGAGTTTCTCTTGGGAAGAGGCAGGCTCTGAGGCTGTTGATCTCTAAATTATAGCGTTGGCGCGTACCGGTTGCTGCAGCAACCGAGTTGTCCTGAACCGGGGAAGTGTATAAACATTGCCACAGATGCACAATTAGATCAGGAAGAAGAATAGAACAGAAAATAGAAACTTCCAGCCTTATGTAATTCTGGGCCAAAATGTTATTGGGAACCCAGGCCCAGTCCTGGCCCTGCCAGCTGCTGGGACCAGGGTAGCACCATGTCTTCCCTGGGGACCCAGTGGCAAGGAGGGGTGGAGAGAGGATCTGTCCTCTACGGCCCGAGGCACATCCCGCCACCCAGTGCGGTGAGGGCCCTCTTCTGCTGCAACAGCTGGGGATGCTTGACAGGCAAATCCTGCCTGTCACCAGCTCCTGGGAAGTGTGGGAAGGAAGGCAGGACGGTGATGGCTTTACCCCAGCGCCTGCTGTCCCCGTAGGTCCCATGAGGTAGGCAGTTTTGGTGCCCATGTTACAGGTGAAGATGTGGAAGCTCGGAGAGGTGAACTGAGTGTGTCCTCCCTTCCCACTCCCTGTCTCCCCGCCATCAACTCATTCATGTTGGTGCCACGCAAGTTTGTATCCACTGCCAGCTTTGTGGCTGGCAGCTGGCTTTCCCTCTCTGAGCCACCCGGGACATGGGAATAGCGATGTCTACAGAGGAGTCAAAGCTGGGGACTCCCCCTTCCTCCACGGGGCACTGGGCAGGAATTTGGGCTCAAGGACTCAAAGCAGCACTGGGAGGGAAGAGTCTAAGAAAGTAGCTCAGACCCAGGTGGGGCTGCGGGTTCCAGTAGAACTTTCTTTTTCTTTTTTCTTTTTTTCTTTTTTTGACATGGGGTCTTGCTTCGTGGCCCAGGCTGGAGTTCAGTGGGATGATCACAGCTCACTGAAGCCTTGACCCCCTGGGTTCAATAGATCCTCCTGCCTTAGCCTCCTGAGTAGCTGATGCCACAGGCATGCACCACCATGCCTGGCTAATTTTCTTATTTTTTGTAGAGATGGGGTCTCACTCTGTTGCCCACGCTGGTCTCAAACTCCTGGCACAAATGATCCTTGCATCTCGGCCTCCCAAAATGCTGAGATCACAGGCATGAGCCCCTGTGTCCGGCCGGAAATTTCTCAGTGCTAGAACTCTCCTATATGTCTTCTCCGTCCAGTGTGGTGTGGTGGCCATTGACCATATGTGGCTCCTGATCACTTAAAATGTGGCTCATGCAAGGAAGGAGCTATAGTTAATATTTTATTTAGTTTTAATTAAATGTAAAGAGCCACAGGTGGCCAGTGTCTATCTTACAGGAGGATGTCCAGCCCCCGAGAAGCCCAAAAGTCCATAGATGGAATCCAGGGAGGGGAGTGGGCCCAGAGCCTCCCTATGCTCAGGGCAAGCAGGACAGAGGGGCAGGGAGGAACCAAGATGGGCCTCAGGAAGCTTCCAGAACAGTGAGCATAGGAGGGCCGGAGGGGCAGTGTTGAGGGGCAGGGACAAGGACCTGGATCCTTGTGGCTTTAGCTTCCTGTTCTGTGGACCCCTATCTCTAAGCTGGGCAGGACTCAGGGGCACTGGCTCAGACCCTGTCATCAGAACCCCCTCCGCTGCCACCCTCCGCCTGCTGCGGCAGAGGAAGTCTTAGGTCCTGGTCCAGGCTCACCTGCTTCTGAGAGTCTTGGGGCTGAGTCTGGGTGGCCCTGAGGAGGCCCCTCGCTCCCCAGCATCTCACCTGTCTGGCTTCTCCTCCGCAGGCCCTGCGTCTTCCCAGGTGACCACGCCGGCTTCAGGACATGCACGGACACAGCCGCAACGGCCAGGCCCACGTGCCCCGGCGGAAACGCCGCAACCGCTTTGTCAAGAAGAACGGCCAATGCAATGTGTACTTCGCCAACCTGAGCAACAAGTCGCAGCGCTACATGGCGGACATCTTCACCACCTGCGTGGACACGCGCTGGCGCTACATGCTCATGATCTTCTCTGCGGCCTTCCTTGTCTCCTGGCTCTTTTTTGGCCTCCTCTTCTGGTGTATCGCCTTCTTCCACGGTGACCTGGAGGCCAGCCCAGGGGTGCCCGGGGCGGGGGGGCCGGCGGCGGGCAGTGGTGGGGCAGCCCCAGCGGCCCCCAAGCCCTGCATCATGCACGTGAACGGCTTCCTGGGTGCCTTCCTGTTCTCGGTGGAGACGCAGACGACCATCGGCTACGGGTTCCGGTGCGTGACGGAGGAGTGCCCGCTGGCAGTCATCGCTGTGGTGGTCCAGTCCATCGTGGGCTGCGTCATCGACTCCTTCATGATCGGCACCATCATGGCCAAGATGGCGCGGCCCAAGAAGCGGGCACAGACGCTGCTGTTCAGCCACCACGCGGTCATCTCGGTGCGCGATGGCAAGCTCTGCCTCATGTGGCGCGTGGGTAACCTACGCAAGAGCCACATTGTGGAGGCCCATGTGCGGGCACAGCTCATCAAGCCCTACATGACCCAGGAGGGCGAGTACCTGCCCCTGGACCAGCGGGACCTCAACGTGGGCTATGACATCGGCCTGGACCGCATCTTCCTGGTGTCGCCCATCATCATTGTCCACGAGATCGATGAGGACAGCCCGCTCTATGGCATGGGCAAGGAGGAGCTGGAGTCGGAGGACTTCGAGATTGTGGTCATCCTGGAGGGCATGGTGGAGGCCACGGCCATGACCACCCAGGCCCGCAGCTCCTACCTGGCCAGCGAGATCCTGTGGGGCCACCGCTTTGAGCCCGTGGTCTTCGAGGAGAAGAGCCACTACAAGGTGGACTACTCGCGTTTTCACAAGACCTACGAGGTGGCCGGCACGCCCTGCTGCTCGGCCCGGGAGCTGCAGGAGAGTAAGATCACCGTGCTGCCCGCCCCGCCGCCCCCTCCCAGTGCCTTCTGCTATGAAAACGAGCTGGCCCTCATGAGCCAGGAGGAAGAGGAGATGGAGGAGGAGGCAGCTGCGGCGGCCGCAGTGGCCGCAGGCCTGGGCCTGGAGGCCGGCTCCAAGGAGGAGGCGGGCATCATCCGGATGCTGGAGTTCGGCAGCCACCTGGACCTGGAGCGCATGCAGGCTTCCCTCCCGCTGGACAACATCTCCTACCGCAGGGAGTCTGCCATCTGACCTCCAGGCCTGGCCCTCACCACTGCCCACAAGAGCCTCTGCCGGGGGTAGGATGCCAGGACACCCCCTCCCACACTCAGGACAGAGCCAACCCTGGCTCCATGGACCTTCTGGAGGAAGGTGGGGGTTTCAAAGACTGGGAGACCCCTTCCTCCTGACTCCAGCACCCAGGCCTGGGAAGAGCTCGGCCCAATCAGCCAGGGTTCCCCCAGCGCCTACTCCTGGTGACTCTGGGTCCCCGGATCCACCACCCTTCCCCCACTGACTCGTCAAGGACGTGCCCTCTTTGCTCTCAGAACCTTGGGGAAGGTGACTGGACTGCTGGGTGGGAGACATCTCGGGGTTTCAGGGTGGGCAGGGGGTTAGTTTGGGGAGGGGGGTGCGTTTCTTTTGCATGACTGTGGCCTGTTGCTCATGACTTTCTTTTGTAAATATCTATAAATGGAGACAGATGGAGACACCAAATTCACCTTCTGCCGTTTTTACCTGCCAGACAAGGAGATACGGTCCCTCTCTGTGCACCCTTCCCCACCCTGCCCATCAAGCCTAGCCCCTTCCCCTGCCCAGCTGGCTGGCCCCTTGAGGCCCGCAAAGCCAGCCACCTTGGCCCTTGGATGGTGTTGAGTTTGGGTGCAGAGGAGGGACTCTGAGGGGTGGGATGAGGGATCATCCCTCCCTCCCTGCAGTCCCTCCGGCCCCAGGGCCCAGCCCAGATTGACAATAGAGTTTGTAACTATATATATATACACATTTGAGACAGAGTTTGTAACTATATATATATATATATATATATATATATATATATTTGAGACAGAGTTTCGCTCTTGTTGCCCAGGCTGGAGTGTAATGGAGCAATCTTGGCTCACTGCAACCTCCGCCTCCCGGCTTCAAGCGGTTTTCCTGCCTCAGCCTCCTGAGTAGCTGAGATTACAGGCATGACCCACCACACTCAGCTAATTTTTGTATTTTTAGTAAAGATGGGTTTCACCATGTTGGCCAGGCTGGTCTCAAACTCCTGACCTCAGGTGATCCACCCACCTTGGCCTCCCAAAGTGTTAGGATTATAAGCGTGAGTCACTGTGCCCGGCCATAACTATATATTTTTAATAAAGTATATGGTCCATTGGGGTTGGCTGGTTGAAGATGGAGGGGTGAGAAGGAGAGACAGTGAGCAAGCACACATGTAATTGTGCCTGTGTGTCATGTGTGTGCCTGTGTATCATGTGTGTGCCTGTGTGTGTCATGTGTGTGCCTGTGTTTCATGTGTGTGCCTGTGTGTCATGTGTGTGCCTGTGTCATGTGTGTGCCTATGTAGTATGTGTGCCTGTGTGTTATGTGTGTGCCTGTGTGTTATGTGTGTGCCTGTGTAGTATGTGTGCATGTGTGTTATGTGTGTGCCTGTGTAGTATGTGTGCATGTGTGTTATGTGTGTGCCTGTGTGTTAGGCATGTGCCTGTGTGTGTCATGTGTGTGCCTGTGTTATGTGTGTGCCTGTGTAGTATGTGTGCCTGTGTGTGCCTGTGTGTTATGTGTGTGCCTGTGTAGTATGTGTGCCTGTGTGTTATGTGTGTGCCTGTGGTATGTGGCTGCAGGTGTCTGTGTTATGTGTGTGCCTGTGTGTAGTATGTGTGCCTGTGTGTTATGTGTGTGCCTGTGTAGTATGTGTGCCTGCAGGTGTCTATGTGTGTGCCTGTGTAGTATGTGTGCCTGCAGGTGTCTGTGTGTTAGGTGTGTGCCTGTGTGTCATGTGTGTGCCTGTGTAGTATGTGTGCCTGCGTGTGTCTGTATATGTGGCCCTTTCTGAGTGACTGACCCTTGGAGGAAACTTTATCACTTGCCATTCTCCTTCCTGCGAGTCAATATAAGGATCTGGAGTTGGCATCAAAGAACCAAAAGCTTTGATATCAGAGCTTTGTTACCTAGTAGTTGTGTGACTGTCAGTTCTTGGCCTCAGTTTCATCTTCTGCAGAATGGGATTAACCATCCCTCCCGCCTGCGATAATGGGCAGGATAGCCCTGTGTGGATGTCAGCCAACCCTTCCTAACTCAGGTGGAAGGGGGAAGGGCCCACCCGATCCACACCTCCCTACATATATGCAGATCCATACACCACTGGTAGAGCTGGTGGCAGGACACTGATGGGAAGGGCCCAGGGGCCGGGAAACCTGGTCACAGACTTGACCAAGACAGGCTTGGTCTCTGCTCTCTGTGGGACCTTGGGTAAGTCCCTTCCCTTCTCTGGCTTCGGTTAGCCTATGCTATGTAACCAGTCAGCACAAAACAGAGAGCAATGATGCATCCTCTGTTAGGGTCCTGTAGGTGGGCTGGGGTTCCTAGCTGATTTCTCCTGGGCTCACCCGGCAGCTGTGCTCAGCTGGACCGTCAGTGGGCCTGGAAGACCCCCGAAGAACATGTCGGCAGCTGGTCTGACTGCTTTCTGGGGGGCTTTGGTTCTCCTCCAATAGGCTACATCACATTCCTTCATGGCGACTCCGGGCAGCAACCTAAGAGGGCGAAGGTTTCTGGAGGCCTAGCCTTGAACTTGGATAACACCACTTCCACTGCAGTCTATCGGGCAGAGTCCAGGTCACAAGGCCAGCCCAGATTCAAAGGGTGGGAAATTAGACTCCACCTTTTGAGAAGGAGGCAAAGTCACATTGCCAAGGACATGCCGAGCAGGAGGGAGATGTGGCCATAGTTGGTCATCTATCCCAGAGCCTTGGAGTTTGAGGGTTCCTCCCACCCGACCTCTATTCTACAGGCCGACTGTGTGCCTCGGGCTGTAAGGAAGCAGAAGGCACCCTTTTGGGTCCCAGGGATCTTCCACACAAAGGTGCCAGCTGCCTCGAGAAACAGGGAACCAGCCGGCAAGCTTGCCTTGTGAATGACCATGTCTCACCAGCCCTGGCAGTATAGCTGCCGTTTGGGTGAATCACTGTGCACCTCGTATGCTGCGCTGCTGCAGAAGGAAACTGGAGACCTCTTTCCTGGAGACGGAGCCTCGTTCGGGATCCAAGCCTCCCAACAGATAACTCATAATGTCTCTGATTTGCATAACACCTTTCACGTCCTTGGGTTCATTGAACTCTTACGAAACTCCAAGAGGAAGCCAGGACAAGGATTATGGCCTCCTTTTACTGATGAGGAAATAAATGGTGGCCCAGAGAACCAGGCGACTGGCTGGAAACAAAGTGAGGACAGTCAGAGGCCCGGGACCCTGCTTCTCCTTTACTCCATCCTCTCCCAGGTGGGGGCTCAATGAGGGGGAGGGGCTGCTTCCTTTCCTCTTCTGCCCCCTCTCAGATTTCCCAGAGTGCACCTGTGGTCTTTGGGGGCCCCCCCAAAAAGCCTGTGGGGGCCGCTCAGCAAGAAAGGAATTCACATTCTGGAAGGACCCCTGGTCCTCTTCTGTCAGCTGAGTACCCCAGGGTCTCACTCCTGACCCTGGAGGCTCATGAGAGATGTCCCTCTATCCAGCCCCGCAGGCCCTGGGTGGGTCTCGCCAGGTCTCTCCGGTCCTCCCTCCACATCCCCAGGATGCCACGGCTCCCGGGCTACGAGCAGTAACTGAAGAGGACTCAGGCTCAGGTGCTCCCAGACTCAGAAGCCTCCACCTGGAGCACGTCTTAGGGGATGTCCACCCTCCTCTAAGATATGCGAGAGGCCTGGACGCAGGGTGAGGAAGGGGTACATGTGGGGTTACCTCAAAGAGGGCCCGTCATCCACCATCCAGAGCAACATGGGGTGTTCCAAGGTCCCTCCAGGCCCTTCACCAGCTTGCGGCTTGCTCATATGCTTGTGGTAGTTGCTCTTTTGGGAGGGGCCTGGTCTGTCTGGTCACATGCAAGGTGACCTGTGGCAGGGTCACACAGAAGAGGCAAGTGAAAGCCCAAAGCCAGGACTTCTGGAGTGCCAAAGGTCAGCTCCAGTGTGGGCACTGGGGGAGAGGGCCATGAGGTGCCGAGAGCCCGTAGCTGCAGGGAGGTTCCCAGGCCTGGCTGTGCTGCAAACTCCTGCTGGCTCAGCTCTGCTTGGGGCTGACTCACCTTCCCTCTCCCACCTGTTCCCCTTTCACAGCCCTCCCACCTGCCTCCCTCCTCGTGCGGCTCCTCTGATCCCTCACTCCACTCCGGCTCCTGCGGCACTGACATGGGGGGATTGCTGCGTCTGGGGGTGTAAGAACCTTAGAAGTCACAGAGCCTAGAATTGCGCATACGGGCGGGCTGAAGGAGCCGTAAAGTGCTGCCAAGCCCTCCTCATGCTACACCAGCTTCCCTGCAGAGCCAGGGTAGGGAGATCCCCTCTGCCCTGCCCTGCCCTCTCTTCCCCACTTCGGTCACAGCCTCTGGGGGAGCAGGAGTGGTGGGCGGGATGGAGAGAATGACGAGGGTATCATGCATGCAGAAGAAAAGGAGGAAGACAGGGAGGGAGGAAGAAAGGGAGGAAGACAGGGAGTGAGGAAGAGGAAGAAAGGAAGGAAGATGGAGGGAGGAAGAGGAAGAAAGGGAGGAAGGAAGAGGAAGAAAGGGAGGAAGACAGAGAGGGAGGAAGAGGAAGAAAGGGAGGAAGACAGGCAGTGAGAAAGAGGAAGAAAGGAAGGAAGACAGGGAGGGAGGAAGAGGAAGAAAGGGAGGAAGACAGGGAGGGAGGAAGAGGAACAAAGGGAGGAAGACAGGGAGGGAGGAAGAGGGCGGGTCTAATGGGAGCAGAAAACCCCACCCTCATCTGGCCACGCCTGCCTGCCTGGAATCCCACAGTTGAGACCTAATCCTTGTAGATTCACCATGGCTTCCTTCCCACCAGCTTCTGGAAGATTTATCTTCCTTATGAACTCAAATAGCTCATAGAAGAATAGAGAAGAACTTAGGAGGCATCCAACTCAGCTATTTCACCTCATCGCGTTCACCCCCATCTTTGTTAGATCCCATGACTGCGATCAGAGGACTGCTTCCTGCGTCTGGCTTTTCTCATTGCAGTTTTTTCCGGGTATTGACTTTTCTGGGTATTGATGGATTCTACATCTTTTCAATTTTTTTTTTTTTTTTTTTTGAGATACAGTCTTGCTGTGTTGCCCAGGCTGGAGTGCAATGGTGCAATCTCGGCTCACCACAACCTCCACCTCCTGGGTTCAAGAGATTCTCCTGACCGGGCATAGTGGCTCACACCTGTAATCCTAGGACTTTGGGAAGCCGAGGCAGGCAGATCACCTGAAGTTGGGAATCCGAGACCAGCCTGACCAACATGGAGAAACCCTGTCTCTACTAAAAATACAAAATTAGCCGGGCACGGTGGCACATGCCTGTAATATCAGCTACTCAGGAGACTGAGGCAGGAGAATCACTTGAAGCCGGGGGGTCGGAGGTTGCAGTGAGCGGAGATCGTGCCATTGTATTCCAGCCTGGGCAACAAGAGTGAAACACTATCTCAAAAAGAAAAATAAAAAAGAGATTCTCCTGCCTCAGCCT